TACGCAAGTCACAGAGACAGAGACAGAGACAGAGACACAGACAGAGACAGAGACAGAGAGAGAGAGAGCTTGCAGATCTTCCAAAGATCCATAATACAACCTCAAAACTCTTTCTCTTGGCGTCCCACACAGCGCTGCAAGCAAAAATTTTTGCTCGAACTGCCAAGTCCTTGCAGCAGTGCAAGTCGAGTCATCTTCATTCGGCCGAGGAAAGTCTAAGCATTGCTATCAAGACAAGGCTCCAGTTCCAATTGCAGCGTATAATCTGTCGAATGGATTTTGATTCTATTGGTTCCAAGTAGTCCATGCCAACAGACATCAGCGACCAAAGTGGCCTGCAGTGTGCTTGAGTCGTGACACTTAGTCCATGATTGCAAAACGCACTGAGGTCGCAGCGGAGCCTTCCCGCCGCAACGCTTCTCGAACAATGTTGGCAAATCGTTCAAGCCTTGGCGATCGAAATTGGAGATCCTGCAGAATCTCGCGTTGAGATCTGACGTCTTGAGGTTCAGGCTGCGAAGGTACACTGTTGTCAGCCTCTCTTCACAATGGCCAAACTTGCCAAACATCGAATTCTGCGTTGCTTCTCTTCTGTTGCAGTAAGTGTTGCTGGAACCCGTTTGGCGCACCATCCTGGAATAATTGAACAAAAGGACCAGTATTTTGCGCGCTTTGTCAACGGTCCTTCTGAAAGCTGTTTCATCCGCCCAATTGATTAGTGAAGTCATATAGTTTGCAAGTGTACATGTGCATGTATGTTTGTCAATGTATATGCACATGTATATGGTTATGTCAAGCCGCTTGTTTTCGTTCACCACCACAGGTTTTCACCACCGGAACTGAATCCGCGGAGGGAGGGTTGGGGATCCAAAACTAAACACTCACATTACCGGTTGATTTCAGTCAAACATGCTATTGACGTGGCAACTGACAAGTCATAAGAACATGTCAAGCCGCTTGTTTGCCACCACCGCCAGAGGTTTTCATACGTGTGGCTTTGCCACAATCACAAAAGCAGGTACAAGAACATGTTTTCCCTGTACCAAGTCACTAGCCACACCAGGTTTCTGACCTTACCCCCTGGCCACGCCCGAAAAAAGGGGTCAGCCTGGTAGCTGGCAACAACAAAAGGAAACAACCTTCCACGGGCACCTTCCTGGCCAATGGTCGATAGCACTTGGGTTAATTGTTTCATGTAGTTTTTCCGCTCTTCGGTTATGGACAGGCGGCTCAAGGCTGCAGCGGCGTCTTGCAAGTAGATGCGAGCGGTGGAAGAGGAAACCCACCGGCCCCACAGCAGGGTTTGCTCCATGCTACCTTCTGTCAAGAAGTGCCAGGTGGCGCCGAAAGGAGTACACAGAGAAGTACCCCTGCACTTGCAGGAAAGCGAGCGGCGCAAACAACACATTGCGGAGAGCATCAGGTTTACAGTGGAGCAAGAGGTCTGTCGGTTTTTTTCGAAGCTAATGCCACTGCAAGCCAAGCATTTGCCACGCGCTGCCCTGATTGAGTGCTCTTCAGGGATACGACGATACCACAGCCTTTCTGCCTGCCCACGTGATATCGTGCTTTCTAAGCTGATAAAGTTCTCCAGGTCGTAGCATGGTGTCAAAAGCCAACAGGAATGCAGCCGCACAGCACGGCCATCCCATCTGCACTTATGGCCATCACCATAAGTGGGCTGATGGGCAGAACTCTCCCTGGTGGCCCCATCTTTTGCCATGACTTCAAGAGTCGCCAGCTGTGACGAGGTTTACCAGCCACTTCAGGAAGGAAATGCTGTAGTGCAGCGACCCCATCTGATCCATAACCTTTTGGATAGCCCTCAGCAAAGATATGTTCCAGCCATTGTGATGTTCCGACATCCATATCTTCTCACGCAGAGGGCGACGACTGGCACTCACGCCAAAACCGAAGGATGCGACTTGCAGCTATTGCGTAGCGCTCATGCAGACCTGGGCTCACAACTTTCTCATTGAGAGTCAGACCAGCACCTTGCTTTTCCTCGCCTTCCGATGCTCTTCGACCTGATCCTTTCTCGGCTTCCCCATCGAGAAGGGATATCAGCTGGGTTGTCCTCTGTGGAAATGTAGCCGACTGCGAATTGGATACCACCTGCAATGCACAGGCTAGCCAACTTGTCCACGGCCTTTCTCAGGCGGTGGCTGCTCGCGCGACCCTTGGTGATAATGGACGCAACGACCTGGCTCTCCACCAAGTGCAGGACCCGCTTCTTAAAGTTCGGCAACGACCGCAGGCGCCATTGTAGCGAATTGACCACAGCTTGAAGCTCTAAAAGGTTTGATATGACCCTTGTATGATCTTCCAGTGAAACAACCTAGAACGCAACCCAGATCTCGGCCACGCCTTGCGTCTAAAGGGGATCCCTACATCCAACTTCACATCTGTACCACCCCTGTCTGCTTGCCGCAGGAACTCTTGAACCAACATGCGGGGCGCATCATCAGGCTGGCTGGTGGGGTCGAACTTGGGCTTGCTACACCAACCTTGGGGTGCACTGTCATCAGTCACAAAAATGCGCTCAAGACACCGAGGCTCATAGGTGGTATCAGCGTCATGGAGCAGCTCATCCAGCAGCAGTGTGATGGCATAGACATGAAAAGAGTTACCCATCATGCAGCAACCCAAGTTGCACGCCTCCTCCATCGTTAGTTTAGGGCTCAAAGCATTCGACACAGCCCTTGGAAAATCCCATGGCACGTTCCCGCTGCATCAAAGACGGCAACCTGAAGCTTCCATCTGGTTTCTGGATGATATGCTTTTGCTCGTGTTAGTAAACTTGGAACCTGAAATGATCTGCTTTCCATCTTTCAATTGCTCCAGCTGACGCTGATTGGACCCCCGCTGGCTCACGGGGTGGTGTTTTTCGCAGAAGAGCCCTGGTAAAGGTTGGCAGTGGATCATTCGAAGCCCTGCTGCAAAAGGGGTCAAGCCACCACTTGCCGGTCATTGCAGTTGCCTTCCCTATCCATTCCTTGTAGCCGTGGTGAGCATGGAGTGATTCGCCCCAGCCAGGATCCACAGGCGAATCAACCCAAAAGAGTCGTGAGCGCTTGCAGGGTGAGAAGTGAGCACTATCAAGCAGGATCGGCTCAATGCCCAGCGTAGTGGAGAACTTATCTCTATCTTCTGCAGTCATTGAGAACACATTCTCAACAAACCGATACACTAGACACCTGAAGACCTGCTTGAGCGCCTCAAAGATCCTGGGCATCTCAACGAAGAGCTTGCTTCGCATCCCTTGCAACCCTGCCTTGTCTGCCAACAGGGAAAACAAATCTTGACATGGACTACCACCAGCTGCCACCACCAAGTCAACGGAGGGACCAATGCTTGCAGCGAACGTCTCAAGCATTTCCAAAAATATTTCGCTGATATTGCCTCATTCTATGACTCCTGGCCATCGGTGCCTCGCTAGCCGCTTGCAAGCTTTGTCTACTTCTGATGAAGCAAACGCAACCACCTGACACCTGAGGCAACATAACCCGCACCTAACTGCTGAGATGCCATCGAATAATGACACTACGACCACGCGGGCTCCCTCAAAGTTGCTTGTCGGTAATGCACCTTGCAGTCGGTCGCTGTCACAACGAGACAAGCCTCACTCTGCAGCTGCCTAAGGACCTCGTGGCCTTCAGGGGATCAAGGCACCTGATGCACACAGACCCCTTCCAACTTCGCTGGCATCAGAGCAGGTGACGACATTGCTTACCTGTGCTCGCAAATCCGTCCCTGCCAGCGGCAGCACCAGAATGGCCCGGAGGAGTTCTTGGATTGCCTGAGGACTCCATGGTCTCCTCACATGAATTTCTCCGCGTGGCCAAATCCCGCCATCAGCGGGCGCCTAAACTCAAAGCACCACGCAAATCGCCCCAAAACCATCAGCAAGATCTTAATGGGCGGGCATCTCAACCCGAGTGACCACAAAGCGAAGTAAGCCACCTCCATGCGCTTTTGATGTGGGGCTGCCACAGTGCCCTGGTGCCCATCCACCTCAGCGCCCATACGGATGACCTTAGGCTCATGCTGGTGTGCATTGTCAGCAGAAATGTCCACGCCCCAGCGTTCGTAGGCCCGCCTCTGCTTCGCATGGGTCTCACTGAGTTGCCCTTGCATTGTCTACCAGCCATCACTGGGAACAATTTCAGGGCGTCAAAATCATCTAAATCAAACTGCACAAACTCATCCATTGTCCAGCACCCCGCGGCTCCAGTGCCATGCCCAGTTGCCGGTGCAGGTGCTGGAAAAGGCTCACAGCTTGGATCCAGCCCATATAGGTATGACACGGGATGCCACGTACTCCCAATCCTTGTCTGAGCCCACCAATCTGCCAGGCACCGGCCAGGCAAACGTCATGAATGGCCGCCAGCTTGCAGGAAGTTCCCACGTGTAAAAGGCACCTTTTTGATCGTCTCCGCCCCATAAAAGGACCTCCCCCTCCTCCTTCAGCACCAGTTGGCACCATGCTGTGGATCCTGCCAGCGTGTTCAAATCCGCACGCATAACTTTTGGGCATGAAAATCATGATTAAACGGGTCACTCTACACTGGCCTGCACCAGCCTGCCCCCGCTTCTCCACAGCGAAGGCTCTGTTGAGTACAGGGCGCCACTCCGCATTACCGAGTGTAAAGGAATGGGTTCAATTATACCCCGCTTAAACAGCTCCTGGCAGATGCGGTACCACTCAGGTCAGGTTGCATTTATCCTGGCCTGGGAGCCTTCACTGGCCCTTAGGTTAGCCAAGGATTTTCGACCCACTCCCTTACCTCCCCAGTTGCAGCCTCCACTGCACTGAGTGAGTCGGCCACGCCTAGGTGAGGTAGCCCAGGCAGAAGCTCCTCCAACCTGAGGGGCAAGGCAGTGGCTAACTCTTCATCTAACTGTCGATTTCTGACGAGCTCAGGGAAGTTGGGGGGCTGCACAACTTCAACTGGCTGCGCGCAAAATCTTTCAACCCAGCGGTTCACCACCTCCATGGCAACCCTTTGAGATTCTGAAACCTTTGCTTTTGGGCTACATTGAAAATGCCAGCCCGTGTTTAAACCATTGAGCACAATCGACAATCACGCACAAACATCTCCAAAGCTGTTTTGTCCCTTCACAGACCAACCGCTTCCTCTGTTGACGCCCTTTCTTTTTGTCACCAGGCACTGCACAAGCAATCGTCCGCAAAATGCCATCAACCTCCACCGTGGCCTGTGCTATCAACCTCAAAACCGCTCCTGCTGGGGGCAGAGGCAAGGTAAGATGCCTCTGACCCAGAAGGTGGTTTGGAGGACGCGTTCATTTGACCGGTCAACCAACAACAAACATTGAATCCATCTCGTGGACTACAAAGTAGGAGCTGCATTATTGAAACGCCAGGCTGAAAAACTGACAGCTGTAATCTGGCCACCTTACCACAAAGCATCTGAAAAGACATCTTTGAAACAGCAGAAACATGAAAAGCCCTGATGAATCCACACTGCAACTCAATTTTTTCACTGATTCATGGAAACGAAAGGGTGGCTCGCTAGATCCTTGCAGGACTTCATTGACACCCGCAAGGACTTGTTCTACGCTGCGGTTTGCACCAGGAAACTTCGTCCCGGCTACACAACCTGCGTTTGAGCCGAAATCACTGCCCGCAGATTCAGCCTCCACTGAAGAACACGCTGAGTCATCCGACCGCACCCCAGCCATCACTGCGGAAGAACAGACTTGGCTCAGATGATCCCCCTGCCTCCACAGGGGCTTCTACTTCTGGGGCCCTTGGGATGGCCCTTCCCTGCGCCCATGCTTTGCCTCCTCCTCTCGTTTGAAGTCGAACACCCGCTTCTTCCAGTTTGCCCTGGATTCGTTCTCCAATCTGGGCATAGCTTCCCGGGCCTGAGCCATCCTCATCAGGCCTGAGTCCGCTCCGGCCAATCCCGTGCCTGGAATCTCCTTCTCCAAGGGCGCTTTGAACTTCACGCTCCTCTTGATAGGACTCCTGCTCCTCCTTGGTGATCGCCGATCTCTCAGCACTGGCTTCCTTGTCTCCTTCTTCTCCACTGGCTCGGCCTTGACATCCTCTGCTGCTTTGGGGTGGCGTTGAGGAAAAGGCCTCAAGGCCCCCCCCCCGCCGTGTCCATAGCCCTAATCCTTCACTCTTGGCAGCCTTCACTGCCAAGCTCCTCGCATAGTTTGACTCCTCTGATCAAGCTGCCGCCGACGTCCCATCCCGCACCACCATCAATATGCTCTTAAGCGCTGCATCAAAAGATCTCCTGTCATTGAGATCTTCCCACTGACCACTAACGCTCCAGCCAGTGTCCTCATCTCACGCAGGCGTTCCTCACCAAGGCGCTTGACATCCATGAGGGGCAGCGCTGTGGAGAGCAGATACCTCACTGCTCCCGGCTGCAAAGCCTGCTCACTGGAACCTGAGCCCATGTGGTCACCGAACAGCGTACCCAACTGTTCTGTAGGAAGGCACCAGGTTTCTCCGCGGAAAGCTTACGAAGCTTTCTTTGCCGGCTCAACAGGTCACTCTCCTTGCAGCTGCCACTGAAGATCTCATCCTCCTCCTCACTATCTCCGCCTGACGACGATGAGTCATTGTGCTTCTTTTTGCCCACTAGTGTCTTCAAGACCTGAACCACCTTGTCTTGCCCCTTATCCTTCCTCTTTTTGGAAGCTTCTGCGCCATCTTGCACCCTTCTCGCCAGCACTGCACTGGCCGCCTCCTTGTGGCCTCCTCTCGCTGATGCTTCTTCTCCTCCAGCGACTTTCGTAGCTCCTCTAGACGTCGATCACTCTTCATAGGATCCCAGTCTTCAACATCCAACACTGAATCCAGAGGGTTGGACTTCTCAGATCTTTTGTCCTTCTTCTTGCGCAGACCCTCTGGCCTCCTCCGGCCTACACCGGTGAGGACTGGGTGACCCCTCCTCCTCAGTTTGGCTGCTTCTCCTAGATCTTCTTGTCGAACGCCGTGGACAAGCATTGGACCTACCGACATCACGATCTTCCTGACTGCTCTCCTCAGCGTCTCCTCGTCGCCTTCGATCTCTTCCCTGGCTGTCACCAGGGGTGTTGGGTGAAGCCTTGGACGTGGGCGTGGCCTGCAAGCTGTCATCATGGCTGCCCCTATCCGAACGGGCTGGCTCCAGGTCACGCCTCTTTCTGCCTGGCACTGTCGTGTCCAGCCTCCGGGCTTTCCATTGCTTGAGGCATGCCTCTACATCCTCCTCCGTTATGTATGCACATTTCTGCACATGGACCAGTTGATCTTGTCCAACTTTCCGCTGGCATGTCCTCAGCCCATGACGACAGAAGTGATGCAGCTTGCCTGATCCACCTTGCTCCAAGATCCAATGTTCATAGTAAGCATCCGACACCGCCACATTCGATCTTCATGAGCGCCCCTCCTCGTCGGGCTTGTAGCGGGTCAAGAAATTACAGACTCCACACCCCTGGGGCCCACCAGCATCGCCCAGGCACTCCACTAGGGCCTTTCCCCAGGGAACTTCGAAGGCCTCTTTGCTGCAGTGGCGAGTCTCACGCAACCCAATCCCAGCAGCCATCACTGCTGAGAAGGTCAGGTGAGACATGAGACACCCACTGCTTGATCCAAAATTAAACAGTCACATGACCGGCTGATTTCAGTCAAACATGTTATTGACATGGCAACTGACAAGGACATGGTTATGTATATGTATATGGTTATGTATATGTGTATGTGTATCAATATGTCTTATTTATACATATATATATATCCTTTGTTGACCATCAGCCGAATACTGGGAGACAACCCTTGCGACTGTGGCCCTTTAAAGTTTCCGCAGCCACAAAGCGCACGGAGCACGCAGGCCTTCGTGAGGACGATGCAAAGCTCATAGTCTGATCGCTTCGCCTGCAAGCTTTGCATCGCTCGCTGGCGATCGATTCTCAGTCAAAGACATGCCATAGGCAGCTCTGAGAGACAGTGGATATCATTGGATATCAATGGATTGTAGATTATGAAAGAATGCTATTGCACCATGCAACTGATAATTCTGATGAAGTGTTGGTGGTTTGATTCCAGGTCCCATCACCGAAGGTCCGGGGTTTCTGAAGCCCGGTAAGTTACCAATCATCTAGGCAGTCTTTGGACCCCTCCTTCCTGGATGAGATGTAAAACAAGAGCGGGTAGAAGTGGTATAACTTGGGTCACAGATGAAGGGAGTTAGAGACATTGACTGTGAATGAATCAAATGAAAGTGAGTGGCCCTGGTGGCTGTCTGGCAGTTTGACCATCCAGCCTGTGCTAGCAGCCGCCATAGCTCTCTGTCTGCCGGCATAAGCTCACAAAGGCCCGCGTCCTGTGCAAAAGGCTGTAGCATCAGCCATCTGCAATAAACTTGAAAGATCTTGAAAGTACGTTTCTGAGTCGAAGCATTCTTTGCATGCTGTTGTTCGGGAATGCAGTTTTTATGGACATCCCACCATCTTCCTTTGTAACTTTGTACCAAACTCTTGGGGTCCGACCAGGAGGTGGAAGACGACCTTCAAGGATTGCCTCTGAACAAAGTAGCCTGGCAAATGTGTGATCTTCATTGGCTTGGATCAATAATATCCGCCGACCCCGGCAGACGCAAGGGGGAGCGCGCCAGGGAATAATACTTTTGACTCTTGTTTCGGACTACTACCGCAGCAGCAGCAGCAGCAGCAGGAGCAGCAGCAGCAGCAGTAGCAGCAGCAGCAGCAGCGGCAGCAGCAGCAGCAGCAGTAGCAGCAGCAGCAGCACCAGCAGCAGCAGCAGCAGCAGCGGCAGCAGCAGCAGCAGCAGCGGACGACAGCACCAGCAGCGGCAGCAGCAGCAGCAGCAGGAGGAAAAAGTAGCTAAAATAATCCTTTTCTATGGGTTTCAGAAGTTACATTAGGGAATTTTTGGTTGCAAAATAATCCTTTTCTATGGGTTTCAGAAGTTACATTAGGGAATTTTTGGTTGCAATTTTGATGCTTTTCCGTCCTTCACTGCCATGGTGTTTTCCCATCCGGGGGCTGTCTTTTGAACAGAAGGAGTAGCAAGAGCAGGAGCAGCAGCAGCAGCAGCAAGAGGAAAAAGTAGCTAAAATCATCCTTTTCTATGGGTTTCAGAAGTTACATTAGGGAGTTTTTAGTCGCAATTAGGAGGAAAAAGTAGCTAAAATAATCCTTTTCTATGGGTTTCAGAAGTTACATTACGGAGTTTTTGGTCGCAATTTTGATGCTTGTCCGTCCTTCTCTGCCATGGTGTTTTCCCATGAGGAAAAAGTAGCTAAAATAGCTCATTTTCTCTCAGCAGCTAGCAGCCAGCCAGCAGCAGCCAGCAACTTTTAAAAGCTCTTAACAAGGTGGAAATAAGCTGGAAAAATGATTTTTGTACGATTTCAGAAGGGACGTTCCGGCCTCGAAAAAAGTCGATTTTGGCATCGGTTCGTCCTTTAGGGCCATGCTGTTTTACTGCCGGGAGGTGTTTCGGAGGCGTTCGCCAGCAGCAGCAGTAAGAGCAGCCGCAGCAGTGCAGCAGCTAGCAGCCAGCTAGCAGCCAGCCAGCAGCCAGCCAGCAGCCAGCAGCTTTTAACAGCTCTTAACAAGGTGGAAATAAGGTGGAAAAATGATATTTTTGTAGGATTTCAGAAGGGACGTTCCGGCCCCGAAAAACGTAGATTTTGGCATCGGTTCGTCCTTTAGGCCATGCTGTTTTACTGCCGGGAGGTGTTTTGCAGGCGTTCGCCCGCAGCAGCAGTAAGAGCAGCCGCAGCAGTGCAGCAGCTAGCAGCCAGCCAGCAGCCAGCAGCTTTTGACAGCTTGTAACAAGGTGGAAATAAAGTGGAAAAATGATATTTTTGTAGGATTTCAGAAGGGACGTTCCGGCCTTGAAAAACGTAGATTTTGGCATCGGTTCGTCCTTTAGGGCCATGCTGTTTTACTGCCGGGAGGTGTTTCGCAGGCCTTCGCCAGCAGTAGCAGTATAACAGTAAGAGCAGCGGCACCCGTGCAGCAGCTAGCAGCCAGTCAGCAGCAGCCAGCAACTTTTAACAGCTCTTAACAAGATGGAAATAAGGTGGAAAAATGATATTTTTGTAGGATTTCAGAAGGGACGTTCCGGCCCCGAAAAACGTAGATTTTGGCATCGGTTCGTCCTTTAGGCCATGCTGTTTTACTGCCGGGAGGTGTTTTGCAGGCGTTCGCCCGCAGCAGCAGTAAGAGCAGCCGCAGCAGTGCAGCAGCTAGCAGCCAGCCAGCAGCCAGCAGCTTTTGACAGCAGCTAACAAGGTGGAAATAAAGTGGAAAAATGATATTTTTGTAGGATTTCAGAAGGGACGTTCCGGCCTTGAAAAACGTAGATTTTGGTTCGTCCTTTAGGGCCATGCTGTTTCACTGCCGGGAGGTGTTTCGCAGGCGTTCGCCAGCAGTAGCAGTAAGAGCAGCGGCAGCAGTGCAGCGGCTAGCAGCCAGCCAGCAGCTTTTAACAGCTCTTAACGAGGTGGAAATAAGGTGGAAAAATGATATTTTGGTAGGATTTGTAAGATTTCAGAAGGGAGTTTTACTGCCGGGAGGTGTTTAACAGGCTAAGAGCAGCGGCAGCCGTGCAGCAGCTAGCCGCCAGCCAGCAGCAGCCAGCAGCTTGTAACAGCTCTTAACAAGGTGGAAATAAGATGGAATCTGAGATCTTTTTGTAGGATTTCAGAAGGGACGTTCCGGCCTCGAAAAACGTAGATTTTGGCATCAGTTCGTCCTTTAGGGCCATGCTGTTTTACTGCCGGGAGGTGTTTCGCAAGCGTTCGCCAGCAGCAGCAGTAAAAGCAGCCAGCTAGCAGCCAGCCAGCAGCTTGTAACAGCTTGTAACAAGGTGGAAATAAGGTGGAAAAACGCTAGTTTTCTAGGATTTGTAGGATTTCAGAAGGGAGTTTTACTGCCGGGAAGTGTTTAGCAGGCTAAGAGCAGCGGCAGCCGTGCAGCAGCTAGCAGCCAGCCAGCAGCAGCCAGCAGCTTTTAACAGTTCTTAACAAGGTGGAAATAAGGTGGAAAAATGATATTTTTGTAGGATTTCAGAAGGGACGTTCCGGCCTCGAAAAACGTCGATTTTGGCATCGGTTCGTCCTTTAGGGCCATGCTGTTTTACTGCCGGGAAGTGTTTCGGAGGCGTTCGCCAGCAGCAGCAGTAAGAGCAGCCGCAGCAGTGCAGCAGCTAGCAGCCAGCTAGCAGCCAGCCAGCAGCAGCCAGCAGCCAGCCAGCAGCCAGCAGCTTTTAACAGCTCTTAACAAGGTGGAAATAAGGTGGAAAAATGATATTTCTGTAGGATTTCAGAAGGGACGTTCCGGCCCCGAAAAACGTAGATTTTGGCATCGGTTCGTCCTTTAGGGCCATGCTGTTTTACTACCGGAAGGCGTTTTGCAGGCGTTCGCCAGCAGCAGCAGTAAGAGCAGCCGCAGCAGTGCAGCAGCTAGCAGCCAGCCAGCAGCCAGCAGCTTTTGACAGCTTGTAACAAGGTGGAAATAAAGTGGAAAAATGATATATTTTTGTAGGATTTCAGAAGGGACGTTCCGGCCTCGAAAAACGTAGATTTTGGCATCGGTTCGTCCTTCAGGGCCATGCTGTTTTACTGCCGGGAGGTGTTTCGCAGGCGTTCGCCAGCAGTAGCAGTAAGAGCAGCGGCAGCAGTGCAGCGGCTAGCAGCCAGCCAGCAGCTTTTAACAGCTCTTAACAAGGTGGAAATAAGGTGGAAAAATGATATTTTGGTAGGATTTGTAAGATTTCACAAGGGAGTTTTACTGCCGGGAGGTGTTTAACAGGCTAAGAGCAGCGGCAGCCGTGCAGCAGCTTGCCGCCAGCCAGCAGCAGCCAGCAGCTTGTAACAGCGCTTAACAAGGTGGAAATAAGGTGGAAAAATGATATTTTTGTAGGATTTCAGAAGGGACGTTCCGGCCCCGAAAAACGTAGATTTTGGCATCGGTTCGTCCTTTAGGGCCATGCTGTTTTACTGCCGGGAGGTGTTTTGCAGGCGTTCGCCAGCAGCAGCAGTAAGAGCAGCCGCAGCAGTGCAGCAGCTAGCAGCCAGCCAGCAGCCAGCAGCTTTTGACAGCTTGTAACAAGGTGGAAATAAAGTGGAAAAATGATATTTTTGTAGGATTTCAGAAGGGACGTTCCGGCCTCGAAAAACGTAGATTTTGGCACCGGTTCGTCCTTTAGGGCCATGCTGTTTTACTGCCGGGAGGTGTTTCGCAGGCGTTCGCCAGCAGTAGCAGTAAGAGCAGCGGCAGCAGTGCAGCGGCTAGCAGCCAGCCAGCAGCTTTTAACAGCTCTTAACAAGGTGGAAATAAGGTGGAAAAATGATATTTTGGTAGGATTTGTAAGATTTCAGAAGGGAGTTTTACTGCCGGGAGGTGTTTAACAGGCTAAGAGCAGCGGCAGCCGTGCAGCAGCTAGCAGCCAGCCAGCAGCAGCCAGCAGCTTGTAACAGCTCTTAACAAGGTGGAATAAGGTGGAAAAATGATATTTTTGTAGGATTTCAAACGTTCCGGCCCCGAAAAACGTAGATTTTGGCATCGGTTCGTCCTTTAGGGCCATGCTGTTTTACTGCCGGGAGGTGTTTCGCAAGCGTTCGCCAGCAGCAGCAGTAAGAGCAGCCGCAGCTGGCAGTGCAGCAGCTAGCAGCCAGCCAGCAGCAGCCAGCAGCTTTTAACAGCTTGTAACAAGGTTGAAATAAGATGGAATCTGATATTTTTGTAGGATTTCAGAAGGGACGTTCCGGCCTCGAAAAACGTAGATTTTGGCATCAGTTCGTCCTTTGGGGCCATGCTGTTTTACTGCCGGGAAGTGTTTCGCAAGTGTTCGCCAGCAGCAACAGTAAAAGCAGCCAGCCAGCAGCTTTTGACAGCTTGTAACAAGGTGGAAATAAGGTGGAAAAACGCTAGTTTTCTAGGATTTGTAGGCTTTCAGAAGGGAGTTTTACTGCCGGGAAGTGTTTAGCAGGCTAAGAGCAGCGGCAGCCGTGCAGCAGCTAGCAGCCAGCCAGCAGCAGCCAGCAGCTTTTAACAGCTCTTAACAAGGTGGAAATAAGGTGGACAAATGATATTTTTGTAGGATTTCAGAAGGGACGTTCCGGTTCCGAAAAACGTAGATTTTGGCATCGGTTCGTCCTTTAGGGCCATGCTGTTTTACTGCCGGGAGGTGTTTCGCAGGCGTTCGCCAGCAGCAGCAGTAAGAGCAGCGGAGCAGTGCAGCAGCTAGCAGCCAGCCAGCAGCTTTTAACAGCTCTTAACAAGGTGGAAATAAGGTGGAAAAATGATATTTTTGTAGGATTTCAGAAGGGACGTTCCGGCCCCGAAAAACGAGATTTTGGCATCGGTTCGTCCTTTAGGGCCATGCTGTTTTACTGCCGGGAGGTGTTTCGCAGGCGTTCGCCAGCAGCAGCAGGCATGTTGCACCCCCACATGCCGTTTTTCCACAATACCTAATGGAAACCATACAATCGTCATCCATTTTCCTTCTTCACATTTTGAAATTTCCTCTTGATCCACGGCTTGGCTCCCTCACTTGGGTCGAAGTCTGCAAGGGCAAAGTGTAGCCAAAATAACCATGGGCAAGTCACATCTGCAGCATGTCGTTCTAACAACTCTAAACAAATAACTTTTGCGTGGCGCACAAAAAAATGATGCACCACACCTTAGGTCTTTGTGATGATATGTGGTGACCTCTAAGCTGGAGCTTTCTTGTCCTAATAGCTTTTAGCAGTTTAGTCTTAGGTCTCTCAGCCCAAATGCACATAGATGTGTTGTTCAGTTCAGAGCAAGCTTCATGTCAACTGTCTCGTCACTCTTGCCTGTTTCACCAGCCCTTGATGAAATTGGAACATTGCGGCATCTGCTCAAGGCCTATAAGTCATCTGCATCAGGTATATTTTGCCGGATATTGTTTCACTTTCTCGAACAGTTGCATGGTCCGCAAAACATGCGGAACCTTACGAACGTTTACTTCGGCAAGAGAACCTTTACTTATTCTTTTCCGGGGTCGGCGGCAGGGGCGGCAGCCCTTAAATTGCATGCTCCTTGGAAACATTCTGCAAGCCACACAAATGATCACTCATGGCTGATCCGTCCTATCTCTTAGAGTGCCATGAACCGTGCCCTCGTGAGGGCCACGCCGGCCACGCCTCCAATCAGGGCTATCCATCTTTCCCGTAGCTCGTGGGAGACCCTGGCGAAGCCAAGGCCCGGCACATCGACGAGGCGGAAGCGCGGCAAGGCCTAAAACATGGGGAAAAAAAGCTACGCAATGCGGCACAGCTGCAACCACAAAACATATAAAACATATTATTATAAAACTATTATAAAACCACGAAGAAAATACATGTGCTTCTGAGAAAACACCACATGTGCGTGTGAGAATGCGAGGCTAGCAAGGCCTAGCAAGTTGCAGGAAGCTCTGTGGCTTGAACTTGAAGTTTACCATAATGTACCGTATGTGCTGCACGAATTGTTTGTCAGTTTTGTCTGTTGCTGTCTCAAGGCTGTGATAGAAGGCTGTGATCCACCGCATCTGCTCATGGCCAGTACGAGTATCAGCTTAAGACAGCTGCTGGATGGCCATGGTTTACGTCGAAGAAGTCCATAGTCTTCGTTCTGCCAGGCCTTGTAAACTGGAATGTCAATCAGTCTCACAAACTCAACGAAAGTGTCCAGAATTGACAATCCACAGAGAGTTTTGTGCTGTACTCTTCAGTTTGGAGTTACCTTTCTTGAATACATTCGCTTCTGACTCAAAGAATTCACTGTCAGTAAGTCCTCAGCCGCGAAGAGGTTGGGGCAATTGCTGACCGATTTAGCAACATGTTGACCTCAAGCGGAAAGAAAAGAAAGCTGGATCAAGACCTGTAAATCGTTGGGTCAACCAGGAGGCTGCTCACAGAGTCGCATTGGGATCAGGAAACTTGCTGCAAAGACTCCTGAGCGTGTTTCTTCCCAAAACAGTATTGTGGAATATTGTGGATCGGTTTTACTGGCTAGCTGAAGAAGTTTCTGGAATAAATCACAATAGATGGGTCAAACCAGATCTTAGAGCTCTTAGAACCCCAATGCACTACGGTCAACCAGATCAGTGGCAACCAGATCGTTGGCAACTGTTAGTGCGTAGTGCATTTCCTGCTGCTTGCTGTTGTGGTCACTCAGATTTTTGCAACTGGTTTTACTACCAAATCCAGGTCAGTGGCCAAAGAAGACTTGCCAACATTGCTGCGACCCGCAAAAACCACCTGGCCGCAAAATGGCGGTAACCATGGTAAACCTTTTATTCCGATGTTTCACATTCCAACCCTCCTGAAGGTTCTGTCAACAAGTGATCAGGTTCTCAAAACATATTGAAGGGCAGTCCCTTCCAAAAAGAATCAGTTCAGAAACACGCACATTGAAGATAGCAACTGGACCCGGTATATAAGCTCTCAAAAGTGAATAGTCAAACCATCACAAACCGCACAAAAGTGTGCGCTTCCAGTGCGGAATTCGTCAAGTCGATGATATCAAATACATATGTGCAGCCTTGGTAGCACTTGCAAATCCCCCTCAAATGTTCTTCTTGCAAGAGCATTATCTCCCTTGGGGCACAAGTCATTCAAAAGATCCTTCCTTAGGCCTCAGCCCATTGAATAAAACCGTGGGAAAATGTAAATCGTTATTTTTCAAAAACGATTGGCAGTACCTCAGGGCACACTTTGTCTTCTGGAGCTTGTGGCAAATCCCAAACCTGGCAGCATGCTCAGCATGTCCAACACAATCATCATGTTGGCATCACGTTGAAATTGATCGGGTCGCCTTTTGTAATCTGGTGATGCGCTTGACCACATTCACTCCAATTGCCTGACGGGAAAGGTTTCTTGTGATATGACATGAGAACAATGAACATGTGATCATGTGCAATGGCAGTACTTGCGAATACATTGCCCTGAAGATGTCTTCCTTGAGTACCATTGCTCCTCCTTTGGCCTCGTATGTAAAGGCGTCCTTTGGGATTGCCAAAGCCTGTCAGCAAATCTGGCGTTCATGAAGTCAAGACCTTGCAAAATGATGTAAAAATGCCGTTACATAAATTTTGAAGGATAAACAGGATGGCGACATGCTTGATTGTGGATGATAATGTTGTGATTGACTCTACCAGCATCAACGGAGAACTTGAAGAACTCCCTCGAAGTGTGAGCAGAGCCTCCATCCACTCTAGGACACGAAACGACACTTTGACAGCATGAGCTCGGCCACAGGACCTCACAACCGTCGCTTGTGGTCATTGTCAGTCGAGGTTTGCCCGTGTGCTTGCCTCCTACGTCTGACTCGTGCCCTATCCGTTGCCGGACCCATTTTCTCACCCGTTGTCAGACCTGTGTTCCGGCCCGTTTTCTGACCCGTTTTCTTACCCGTTTCTCACCCGCTTTCGGATCCGTTTGTGACCCGTTTCCGCCCCGTTTGAGCATGTTCCCAGCTTCATTCTGTGTCCGACCCGGTTCTGACCCTTTTCCGACCCATTTTCGGCAAATGTGTTCAACCACCGAAAGCCGAAAGCCGAAAATCAATCAAAAACGAACCTGGGGGCCACTCTGGGGATCACTACTCCGAGGTTTCTTGGCAGGAAGGGTTTTGATCTGAAAGTGGGTGTAGGGCAAAACCTTCGCCGAAAATTAATCAGTACACAGCAAGCCTGTCAACATACAAAATCGATTCTGGAAGGCCTTGCTACAGCTGGAAGCGGCAAGGAGATGTGTATAGTAAATGATATAACTTGTATAACTCAGTATAACTTGTGCAACATGAGTCTGATGCTCAAGCCTGGCAGGGGCCACTCAAAGTTGCAATGTTAAGGCTGTTCAAAAAATCAGAAAGCAGCAAAGCAGCTTGACCCTCTCTTCGCAGGGCTTTGCGCCACAGAAGTGAATATGGAATCCACCGTTTTCGGCAGACTGGTGAAACCTGCGCTTGATTAAAAATTCAGAACGCCAAAATGTTTTTGTTTGCATGTGTCACAACATGTCAACCAAGGTCCTTTCTGGGCTGTATACAGTGTGGCAGAGGCGATACAACGAGCTCGGCTTAGCAGCTTTCTGCTTGTTGTGTCCCTATCTCCTTGGCCTGGCAGGTTTTGGACCAAGCATCGGCCAAGACCCAGGTTTAGGGATCTTGTGCAAATCGCGCTCTGGAACAACTCTGCCTTTTGCTCCAGACTGCTTTCGAAGCACCCACTGGCGGAGCAAAAAAGGCAAGTAAAATGCGGGACGCCAATCCAGGGGAAAATGAACATAGTCTCTCCAAAAGCCATATGGAGGAAAGATTGGAAGCAAACAGCCACCAATCACAAGCGCTCCAAAAGCCATATTCACAACATTCTCGGAGATGGCAAATTGAAGAACTGTTGCCACGAACAGTCCCGCAAGGAAAACTATACCAAGCAGAACTGCATTCGTAATTATGGCAGCCTTGTCTGGGATCTTCGTCTGTTTTGGGGCCTCTATCTCAAGCTGATGTAGCAGGGGATTTTTTGTGTTCCGACGGACCTGAATCTCGGATCCAGGATCACCTATTTGAATAAAAATAGGCTGTGGCACCTCTATCTTTGGAACGTACACTGTACCTTGCTGGTTGCCAAGATCAAACATATACGAGATTTCCCGACGAGTGGCAACAACGTCCCCCATTCTTGTCTCCATCTTCTCTTGTTTCTCTAGAAGGGTGCCATCTATGAGTGCCGAATCATCTTCCCAGTTTTTACCATACTTTCGTCGCAAGAAAAGCTGAACTTGCAGTACAGGACACACAGCCAAAATCGAACCAAAGGCTCCATAGGCTATTACCGCACCTGCTGGCCAGTTGTCTTTGGACCATCCTTCTGACATTGCTGCACTTTTTATAACTTCATCATCTTCATCTATCTCTTGAGCACTGCACCAGCCAGAAATTTGTCCTGAACATGTTCCCTCCAAACCCCGGGTTCACCCACACTCAAACAACATATCCAAACAATATAATTATATAATATACTTATTACCAGAAGATGAATGAAAACACTGGCTATATGCAGCATCTGTCTGCACATGTATGTCGCGCCCCTCTTAGACTAAAACATTGGAGACTAGTTGCTTTGAGTGCCAAGCAAGAGAAGCTCATTGAAGGCTTCTGCAAAGCATTGCTGCCTTGACGTTTTTCCATGTTTTTCCAAGTCAACTCAAAATGGATATTTAAAATCCCAAATTGTGGCACGATTTTCAAGATTTTTTCCGAGACAGTCTGAAGCCCTCGCCCCGGCCTTGTCTTCTGGGGGAGTTGCCGCACGTGCTCTGCCCAATCACCGAGCTTCGGTATGAATTCCACTACTTCGTTCACCGCCTCAGGGGCACGCGCAACTGTGCAAAGTACACAGCTCAAATCGGCAGCTCAAATCGGCATCTGTACGCATGGCATTGCAACATTGCATAGTCAAATTTACTTTCCTCTTTTTGCTCCTCCATTGTTCTTTCGATGCGTCAGCACTGAGAAAGAAACTCCTTGTACTACAGGATTGGTCTCAACACCAGTCAGAAAGTTTGATCCTCTCAGGTCTGCCAGCTCCAGGACAGCTTGAGGAGTGCATCGCATTTGAACAGCCCAGCAAGCCCAGCAGACTCAGCAATGGATGCTGCTCCTAACTTCTCGCGCTCTTTCAGAATAGTACCGGTGAGTCCCTCAGCCAATGGAGGGCAGGTAATTATGCCGCATCCAAAGTATGCAAGGGATTGCAAGGGCGTTAATTCAACAGCTCCTTTTGTATGAGACTTCTAGTTCAACGTGTGCGCGCAAGCTGCTGCCAGCAAGATCAGGAGATACAGTACAGGGAAAGGACTGTTGACTTCACCTTGCGAGTCCGAGATGTTTGAGCTCGGGACAAGGGCAAGAATCTCAATCAACCTGAGGAATCAAGCCGGATTGGCGCTGTCAGGTATATAAGACTTATAAGATAAATTTTGCCACCGTCACTTCTTGCTTCAAGCTTGATCATTTCATGACCTACTCGAAAGCGCAGCTTGCTGCATAGGGAAGAACTGGATTTGCTTTTTCATGTTCTGGATGGCTGCGAAACGCACCACTCTTGTAGCTGACTTGGGGTGCAGCAGTTGAGCTGAGTGCACCTGGGAACTCTCTCAGCAATGCACAAGAATGTGTTGCATTCATGTCTTGTTTTGCATCTAAAACAACTAATTGGTTTGTTTCGTGCTGCTAATTTCAATTTGCTTTGAATTCGTTTGTTGAGCACGGCCAAGTTCCGAACTTCGTCAAAGACATCCACGTGCCGCATTGCAGACTTGACATCGCCCATGCGCGCGTGGCTGTGCGCAAGTTCCTGGCTGCTATGAATCTTTCATCCACGCAGAAAACAGACTTGACTGAGAACACCGCCACAAAATACAGACAGATACAGAATGATTGGCCAATATGTTAAAAAAAAAAACGAAAAAAATGAGGATTCTAAATTCCAAAGTCATCCTCACACCAAATAAACCGGAAAGCTGGCCAGTCCCGGATTGCTGTGGAAGACACATCCCAAGGCTTGACCTCCTCAGTGACAAAGCAGTGCTGAATACGCACCAAGCAGCAACTAACAAGCCATGTTGTTATGACATGTTATGACTTATATGACCATATTGCTGCTAATTTAATACCTAATATGAATACTATCTAATACTACGACAGTTCACTCAAAACTGTCGTATCCCTGAAGTATATCAAATCTCGAAGGACAACCCGGCTATCCTTTAGGTCCAAACCACTTTACAACGCTTTGCCAAAAAGTCCATCGTCCAAGGTACGCTGAGGAGTTCTTCAGCGCATCGAATTCCGTCGCGACCCATTCGAACGAGGCTGTAAATTGCCTCAGTTGTAAGAGCAACAGAGAAAACAAGGAAAGAAGATGAAAGAAGATAAAAGATCACAAGACAAATCAATGGATTTCGAAACGATTTGAGCTTTTACAAAACATGCTTCGTTTCGAAGCACGACTCTTGGGGTTTGGAGCCTGGGAGCGGCTGCTCACTGCCTTTTGGCCAAGCCTCGGTCAGAACACAAATATGATGGACATGATTCCATGATGATATTACATTACATGATTACATGATGTACAATGTATATGACTTGTATGATCTTGTATGACAGTAATTGATGTACACCAGTCTTTAGTCTCCTTAGTGCTAAAATATGTGTTCCAAATCTCTTGGCACCTGGCCCAAATTGCATGAGTTCCTGTCAAGCACTGAAACAAGTTGGGCAAGTGCACCGCAAAGAAGGCAAACACCATCGGTGTTCCAAAGTCTTTCAGGAATATATGAAGGATCGTGGCTTAAATCCTGAAGACCCAAATCAACCCAAATCATCCCAAATCATCCTAAATCATCCTAAATCAATAATATTTTTTAAAGTGCCCAAAGTTCACCCAAACGAGAGCCCAGACAGGAAAACGTGTCTCTTGATTGGTCAGGCTTCAACATTTTCCAAGGATGTTTCCAGGCCTTTGGTCTTTTCAAGGTCCGGAGTTTTGCCATCTGAGCGATGTCTTTCTCTGCGCACAGCTCCTGAGCATCCTGTTCGATGTCAATTGCATGCTCAAAGTGGAAGGTTTAAAGTCTTAGTGCACAGGAATGACGGGGAGTTGCTTATGCTTTGTTTATCTTGCAAATCTGATATTTACTGCCTCTGACCGCCGTAGCAGGCCACGTCCCAAATCCACCTCAAACTGACCATGGCAACAATGGGATATGTAGCACATTGTAGCACCTACACAGATCAGAATCCAGGGTGATCTGCATTAGTAGCATTAGATTTTGATCACTGTATATCAAGGTTCCAGGCTATCTTGGTCTGCCCAGTGCTCAATGCAAGCTTTGCCTGGCCCGGCAATCTTGGTGACACTTCCATCACCGTTAGCCCTTCTCCATGATAAAATTAGTTCACGCTAAGTACCTCTACCCCTAGACATTGAATACAGTGGGTCTGTTGTTTTCACTATTTTCACCACCTCGGCAAAGCAAATCCAGAACCTAGCTCCAACTTTTCTACTACCCCTACTAGTTTGATACAAATCTGGTCTCAAAGTTTTTAGGTTTGCAATGTTTCAAGGCTCAAAAGCTGAAGGTACAACGTTTGAGGTTCATAGAGGTTCCAGGTTCATCCAGGTTCAAGAGTTCCAGGTTTCCACTGAGTGGTGCGTGTTTTGGATTCCAAGCTCCGGTTCCTTCCCTGAGATCAAAATCTCAAGGATGGCATCCTGTGGAGCGCTGTCAATATCTGTCAATAGACTGGACCCTCTCTAAACAGATGGAGAATAGCTGGCAAATCCGTCAAAGATCGTCAAAGTATGGGCGATATCAAGTTGGCCTGCTGAACACCACTCTCGGTGCTCATGTTCGTGACGACTCCTGCTACCTTGGCAGAGTGAAAAAAATGTGAAAAGCGTCAGATCCGTGTTCGAGACTTGGCCTTGCAGAACGGTTGCACGTCTGAAGTGCCCAGAGGGCCGAGGCCCAGACCCATTTTTCTGCTGACTCCATCCGAGAGCGCCCCTGCAAGAATTCCACCTGAGAAAGTTTTATTGATGGAGGAAGGCTGAAGTTGATGCACATGTCGGAGGGCCATTCTCCAATGTCAACTGAGTCCCTCTTATGCCATGAATTCAAACTATGCCCTGCGAGCTCTTGCATCCTTTTGTCATCCCAATTCCCATGCGTCCTCGCTTCATCTACACTAGCATACTCACTCACTGCCAGCATGTCCAAGACTTGCAACAGAACATGCCTCGCAAATTGGCTGCGGCAAGTAGCAAACGCTTCTTTCTTTCGGGGAAAGAATGGCAAAGAAATGTTCATAGAGTTTATCTGCAAATGTCACATTTCAACAGTGTTCAAATCATCTGTGGCCTCCGTTCCTTCGGTCTAATTCTATTTTCGACCTGTGATGACTCCCACTGGAGGGTATGCATGGATGGGTATGCGTCATCAGAGCCTTTTCCCTAGGCTTGCCTTTCGGCATGTCGACCCCGGTTGTGGTGCGCTGCCACAGGCAGCAAACAGAAATAAGGAGCTTCCTGACTAGTACCAAGGCCCTGCACACGGCCACGGTAGCCTGGCGTAGAGCAACCCCTCGCTCTCTTGGCAACTTTCGACTCACAGAACTCTCGAGCAACTCTCAGTGCCTCTCCGTGACTCTCAGTAAGTGTCAGTGTCTCTCAGTACAATGACTTTCAGGAACTCAACCCGGAAACTATCGCTGACTCTCACCAACTCTCAGGAACTCTCAGTGACTCTCAGAGACTCTCAGTAAGTCTAAGTAAGTTCATGAATGTGACTCTCAGTCACTCTAAGTAAGTCTCAGTTCTCGGTCACACAAAGCATCTCCGGTGCCTCTAACTGACTCTCAGTGACTCTCAGTAACTCCAAGTGACTCTCAGGAACTCTACAGTAATTGACTGTATGTGACTCTACGTGTCTCTCAGTGACCCTACGCTCTCGGTGACTCTCAATGATTCCAAGTGACTCTCAGTAGCTCTAAGTGACACTCGGCAACTCTCTGTCATTCTCAGTGAGTCTTAGTGACTCCAAGTGCGTCTTAGTGACTCTAAGTGACTGCATGTGACCCTAAGTGAGTCTAAGTGATTCTAAGGACTTTGGTTGCCATGTTGAAAACGATGGGCCGATTGGCTTCGTTGAAGCCAGCTCTTGTGTCATCAAATCATATCCAAGCGCAGTATGTTGGGCCTCTATCCACAAGGAGCACAGCTGCCCAACAAGGCAAAAAGGAAGCGATCAGCTCCTCGTGCAACAAATCAAATACAACGATGAGAGGGCACCGCCACAACAAGGCGGAGGATTTGTTGGTGTTTGGTGTGTATCTATATCATTCTATATCTATGTCTATATAATTCTATATATATAATACATTATAAATTATAATACTATATACACAACAAACAAATGAATTCAGATGAGCACATCAATCCACAAGTGCGCCATACATTTTTTGGCATACAGTCACAACATACATGGCTCAAATTGTGGCTATTTGCTGAGGATGCTAATGATGTAGAAGCATTGGATGGATGGATCCGTCCAAGGCAGCATGCCTAAATTCAGAGGTAAAAATCCATTGTAGAGCCAGCTGACTGATAGAGCAGACTGTCAGTCCTCTTGAGCATCACTTTGTCCCTGTTCACGCACTGACCCCAGAACCTGCACAGGAAAGTATAGCAAGGCATCCAAAAGCAATCTTGCAGCCACAAATTTCATGCAAGGCGTAAGAGAAAGACTCAAGATTTGATCTTGTGATGCTTTGCTCGGACCTGTCGCTACCTTTGCACACCTGCCTCTTGTCAATTTTTGCAAGCACATACTCAGCTTATAAGCCGCTTTTCAGCACGTTCATGTCATTTCGTCGCGCCTCTGCATGCAGCTGTGCTCTGGTACTCCACGTTGCAATAGGGGAAATCTGTACGCCCACGCAGCCCGTGAAACCCAAACTGGTCAAAGATCTCTGCTCCGCAATAGCACCCAGGCCTGGCAGAGGATTTCCCGAAGACCACTGAAGACTCAAGAAAAAGCGTGGACAATGTGAAAACTTGCACAAAAATAAACTCAGGTGCTATCCCCAACAGCTTGAAAGCTTCTGCGTTTTTGCCATAAAATTAAACGCTTATGCCATAAAAATTAAGCGCTTATGCTATAAAAATTAAGTGCTTATGCCATTAAAAACATCGGAACCCTTTGGGATTTCACAAAGCATCTGCACCAGAACCCTCCGGAACCTCACAAGGTCTCTGCACCGGAACCTGCCGGAACCTCACAAGGTATCTGCCCCGGAACCTTCCAGAACCTCACAAGGTCTCTGCACCGGAACCTGCCGGAACCTCACAAGGTATCTGCCCTGGAACCTTCCAGAACCTCACAAGGTCTCTGCACCGGAACCTGCCAGAACCTCACAAGGTATCTGCCCCGGAACCTTCCAGAACCTCACAAGGTCTCTGCACCGGAACCTGCCGGAACCTCACAAGGTATCTGCCCCGGAACCTTCCAGAACCTCACAAGGTCTCTGCACCGGAACCTGCCGGAACCTCACAAGGTATCTGCCCCGGAACCTTCCAGAACCTCACCAAGTATCTGCACCGTAACCCTCCGGAACCTCACAGAACCCTCCGGAGTCTCAGCAGGTATCTTCACCGGAGCCCTCCTGAACCTCACGAGGTATCTGCACCAGAATCCTTCAGAACCTTGTCCGGAACCTGGTGCTAATCTGGGCTAAGGACCCCATAGCAAAGTTTTGCTGTTGTGGCAAAATGGCTTGCTTCGTTTGGATGGCTGACTTCATGTTGAAGCAGTCGGGTAACCACTTAAGCTGGGTTGCTGATGTAGCTCTTCAGCAGTGTGTCACGAATTTTCGTGACAATGGACTTGCTGGTCTGTGTGGGATTCGCTAGCTTCTGCCTTGAAACAAGCGTTTCGACAATCAGTGAGCCAAGCAGCCAGGTAGTTCAAGAACCCGCACTGGCAATTCAGCACAACTTGTCAATGTGAAACAAAGACCCAATATGCCAAGCATGCTGCTTTAAAACCAAGTCGCAACTTCTGCTGAATCTTTTTCCGAAGGAAGATCTGAACGGCTTCCGCAGAAAGGGTATCATGCGACTCCAGGAGCTGCATGGCATATGCGACCTGCATGGCATATGCGACCCGGACTTCAGCTCATATAACATCTCCTCATGCGACCTGCACCCCAAGAACGCTGTCCTCTGTGATGCCCTTTGTATTGCTTCATATGACTTCCACTATCATAAGATCCACTTACAGATCACTTCTAAATCCTACAACTGTTTCTAATTACAAGTCTGGACACTGTCTGATCATGTCTTTTCTTCGCTCGACATGAAACCGTTCGTGCCTGCCTTAGCGCGGTCTGCGCCTGCGCCTGCCACTGGATTGGCTGCAGCCAGTAGCGCAGGTAGCAGTGGTGGGGCGGAATCAGATTTCCTTTCTGCAAACACACCCAGCAAACGAACGATTAAACACTCAAAAGACCAACCGAATGAACCGCTGCAGGAACAAATGCACGAGTGCAAGAAGAAACAAATGAAACAAACAAAGCACAGATGCCAACAATTGAGAGGTATGCTGGGGTACTGTGGCGAACATTCAGTTAGCCAGTGTCTTGGTTTTTCACGACCATGGCGGAAAGTCTTCGTCCCAGACACTCAATCGCTTCCAGTGCTATCACTGCCAGTCCAAGGTCTTCACAAACAGAGAACAAACGTAAAGCCACCCGCCAGCTGCCCGCCGCCTCGATGAAAGACAGGTTCCATTTCGATCGTCTTCAAAGAATCTATGAAGATCATTGAAAATCTATGAAGCTGACATAGATTGACACTTTGCGACGACGATTTGCAAGTGACACTTACTTTGATTTGATCTGATATGAAAGTAAGTCCGGAGTCCACTTCATCATCACCATAAATATATATATATATAATTTATATCGTTACATATATACATATATATCATTACATATGCATATATATATATCACCATCTTATTTTGTCTATCACCATCACATGTCATCACCATAGTCCTTTGTCATCTCGAGCTGCGTCGAGTATACCGCAGCTCTGGCCTGGCAAGCTCGCGCCGCTGTTTCAAGGGCAATGTTGTCACCCTTGTCCTGTGGACGTGGCGACAGAAACCTTGTCAGAAACACGAATTCGACAATGACCCAAATTTGCTTCTCAAAAATTGGTCTGACCTTCAAGCTTCAGATGCAAATGAGAAAATGGAACATACAAAAAAATGTAGGGATGAAATACATGAAAGAATCAGCGGTATCTAATATAATAATTCATCATGCTCACAAACAAAACGAGGTCTTGGTGCTGTGCTTGCCAAAACTACTGGTCTGAAACCCAATAGAAGTAAGTAGTCAAAAAAAAAACAAAACATTCCCTCTTTGCCTTTCCTGAAGGCACAATCTGTCCTGAAGGCAGTGTCTGTCGATTGCTCTCTGCCAATGCCAACCACTTGCTACCGCACTCAAAGCTCCACGTAGTAATACCTGGCTATGCACCATATCTTTGCACTTATATAAAAGTTCATGTCACTGACAGAGTGGAGGGGACCAAGTCAAGCGCATTGAATCGTGGGACTCTTAAATGCTGCAAGGACTTACCATAAGAATGAAACAACCCCCAAGGCGCTGATAACTTAATGATTACTTAATGATCTTAATGTGCATTTTGCTGAGACCAGTGAAATAGCCAATGTAGTGACCAGTGACCAGCGCTGGGCATCAGAATCTCCAAAGTCTCACAGAGCTTGATATTGGCTTTTTCGAAAAAACCAAGCAACCGCATCAGGCTGGAGCTGCAAATGAACGCTGTGCAGAGTCAGCAAGACATCATTCCACCTAACGCTCCGAGGGCCCGGAGCTTCCAGGAGAAACAGCTTGAAACATGTTGAAACCTTCACATGCCTTCAGAACACACAACAAGCACAGACCAGACCCTTGGAAACTCAAAAGCACGTCAGGCACCTCTACAAATTGCTACAAATTATGGAATCAAAAGATATTATAAAGGTATATAAAGGTCTTCTCAGCGGTTAGGCATTTGGTTGTACTCTCGTGGTGCTCTCTCGTGGTGCTCATGGTGCTCGTGCCACCAGTGACCTGGCCCCCTGTTCGAAGGCAACCAGTTGACCACCGTAAGCCACCAAATCCAGCTGCATTCCACGGCGACAAGCCTCACAGATGTTGTGAATGTCTTTTTAATGGGTACAGTTCCATGTATTCATTCTAACTTCTACTGTAACATTGGCAGCATTCCACCACGTCGCACCTGTGCGACCACATCCAGCGCTTCACACCACTGTCTTGCCGAAGTAGCTGCAGATGCAGCAGCGCTGCATGTGACAATGTCAGCCCTGACCTCAGTCACTCTGTCCGCAGACTTATGAGCGTTTCCGTGCAAGATCTACAGCTGCTTGTATTGTGACATATTGTGACATACAACTAAACTAACTAAACTTGCTGCATTCTCACCTTGGACCTAGTGCCATGGCAGAATGTCAGAGGTTTGTTTCTTGCGCAAAAACGGACTCAACAAGAGACTGTGCAAGACAGGTTGGAGTCCAATTGGTCGGACAAGGCACTCCAGTGCCTCGTAGCTCTGAGTGCAGCAGCCTAAGGGCCGCAAGCCAGCCTTGTCCGCAGAGACCATTGGACCATGAGCAAGATCATGAAGATCATGAAGCATGAGGATGTCTGAACTGTCTCAGAGCCTCAAGTCTCAAAACTTCAAGGTTTCAGACAGAGTCACATGCCAAGCAACACCATGCATCACCGGCACTTGCAAGGGCTGTATTGCAACTTCTCCTGCCAGGCCATGACAACGACTGAGTCACATCCTTGCCATTTTTTAGCATCCAAATCTCGAGGAATGAAAAAGAACATCCAAGATTCCTTCAATCTGAACTAGACGACAGTGTGGCCCGAAAGAAGAGCAGGAGTAGATCAAAAGAGGATGGAAAAGAAAATATGAAGATGGCGGGTGATGAGTGATAATGAAAGATGATGAATGATGAATGAAGTTGTTGATGCGCAAGGATGTAGAATGAGTCATGAGAAATAATGAAGTTATTATATCTGATGTGTATCTGTATTTGTATTTATATATATATATCAATACCGTCTCTTCAGATGACTGGGACGACCTCGGTGAGACGAAAGGAAAATAGACAAGAAAAAATGATGATGAAGGATGAAGGTGGTAATGCTGACGGTGATGAATGCTGGTCACCATGAGGAGTTTTTACACTCAGAAGTTTTTATACAGAGAAGTCTTTACACAGAGGAGTTTTCACACACAGAAACTTTTACACATATTTTTTACACGGGAGTTTTTACACCCAGGTACGCTTACACACAATTTTCTTTACGCACATTCTTCTGTACACACAGATTTTTTTACACAAAGAAGTTTTTACACACAAAAGCTCTTGCACGGAGAAGTCTTTACACAAAGGAGCTTTTACACACAGAAGTTTTTACACATTCATTCCACACGCTGCTCGGGTTCGAGCTGAGCATTGCCCAGCTAAGACGGCTTGCGCCCATATCGAAAGAGAGAAAAATTTGAGCCCAAGGCTCTGTGAAGGTCATCACAGAGACTAAAATTAGGCTTCGACACAGACATATAGGATGTCTGATATCGACAAAAGACTTGAAAGTGAACTGCCAGCGCCAGCGGTCGGACAGGGTTTCCAATACTGATATGAAGTCAGAGGGTTTTGTAACCCTATTCGGTGACATATTCGGTGAATTATTCGGTCAGTTGCAACATTTATGTGTTCTTGCGTGTGTGGAAAGGGGGTAACCTTCTTTGTGCGACAGTCGCCAGATTCAACATGTGTTGCTGATTAGCCATGTCCACAACTACAGTTGGATCAACTACAGCCATTTTACACAAAGAAGTTTTTACACAGAGAAGTCTTTATACAGGGGAACTCTTGCGCACAGCAGCTATTTACACAGAGAAGTCTTTGCACAGAGGAGCTCTTGAGACGCTTTTACACAGAGGAGCCTTGCTACAGAGCAGCTTTGTGACGTTGCAAAATCTCAATTCTACCTCAGTTTTAGACGTTTGACCATCATTTTGTGCGATAGGGTTGCATCGGACGTTTGAAAATTGCAATTTTACACGAGCTTTTGCCGTTCGACCTCCATTTCGTGCGAAAGGGTTGCATCTATGTTTCAAAATCGCAATTTTCCCTCAGTTTTTCACGCTCGCCCCTCATTTTGTGGGAAAAGGCAACACCGAGCCACCAAAAAGTCCCATTTTACCGCACGTTCGTGGGTCCGACACGCACGATCAGGGTTGCACCACGCACGATCTCCGTAGATACAGTATCGCAAACCGGTTTTTCGCTGCCCCTGCCGCCTTAAGAGCGAATTTAGGAGAACTTGAGAAGCAGGAGTTTTGTAGGAGTTCAGCTACAAGTAGATCACCTAGAAGTTAACTCCTATGAAACATAATAACTCCTGTGTAATAACTTTGGTGTAAGAACTCCTGTGTAACTCCCGCGCAAATAACATTGTAGGAGTTTTGTAGGAGATATGTAGACATGGAGCACCTGTAGATGATGTAGAGGATGAATGTGATGTACATAAAGTTGATGTAGATGATGTAGATGATGTTGGGGACGGAAAGAAAGTAGGAGATGTTGTGTAGATGAAGTGAAAAGTTGAAATTGGCTGCAGTTCTTTGGGAAAAACCCTTCGCAGGAGCTTTCAGGAATAAGAGGCGAAACATGTAAAAGACCATGTTTGGAAAAAAAACCTTTACAAGCAAATACCAATAGCCTAATAGCCAATAAGAATGGCTGAATACTTGCAACGGGGGTTGGTGAGAAACCAATAGCAACCGCTTGCACTTTGATGCAATCTCTGAAGATCTGGAAGGAGCTGCAAGATGGCATAAGATGAGCAAGACGCCCAAAAGATCCAAAAGCAAAATTGTGGAACAAGAGGCGCCTGCGAAGCTCACTCACTGAGTTGTCCGCCACATCCATCGAAACCGCATCCTTTTGGACGCGACAGAACTGAGTCGAACGCCTTTGACGGAGATCATTTACTTCACTTTGGGCAGGCCTACCTCCAAAACAAGATGAAGCTGCATGCAATGCTCCCATCGACCAGATTCTTTGCAGCGAAGGACAGCCGCCTTGTCACTTGTCAAACCCAAGCCGTTTGATAAAGTCGATGTACGCAATCATGTCACCAGATTCAATCTTTCTATACCCTGCCCAGGTGTCATGTTTCACTATAGAATACTTACCATCAATTACTATGGTCGATGTTCATTTGCAAGACATTGCATCCAGGCAGCCAAAGCAACAAAAGGATCAGGGTTTCCTCCGGAATATCCTTGGCTCTCGATCAGATTGTCAGGCTGCTTTCGAAAGATCTGCCGCAATCATGTTTAAAACACAAAATCAAGGATAAGGATAATACATGGAACTTTCTTTGCTATTTCTACATGACGTTGCAAAAAGTGATATGTGCAAGCACACGTGCACAAAACCTTTGGAGTACAATATGGCAAACACCCAGGTCTGCTCAACAAGCCAAAATTACTCTCATGAAACGATGTTTTGACAAAAAGCTATATATCTATCATCATTCTGTCCAAACTGTGTTCGAATCAAAAATGATGTTAAAGGTGAAGGAATGATGTTGTTCTGACCCACTCTCTGCATGGGAAGCTCGCAGATTCTTACTCCAAAATGATCTCAGTTTGGCTACACACCGTTCTCAGTCTTGGAGCAGAGAGTCACCCAACACATTTCCTACACTAAATGCCAACACACTGGAACAAACCACTGGGATCCGAGGCTGCAACCAGATGGTGGACTATCGACACTCCACTGTTAAGAGATGGTCATATCTCATATATCTCGATGCCATGACTACCGCCGAATCCACTGCAGCCACTTTTCAAAGGCCACAGCGTCCGAGTCTTCGCAGTTTCTCCAAACAACTGATCTGAAGTTCCCATGGACTCCAGCTGCTTGTGCCCCTTGTGCCCCTTGTGGCGCTGGAGCCCTTCATCTCCAGACCTGGGCATCGCCAAAGCAATAATTACGTGGAAAAAACTAGACTTTTTGTGAAAGCTGAGTCAAGACGCACCCCTGAGTCAAAACAAGCATGTTGTACGATGCACAGTCTAAGTATTGAAATAATTCAAATATAGTCACTTGGAAAGAGGCGTCTGACAAATGCCAGGCCTGCTGCCGTCGCCGCAGTTAGCTCGTAGCCGCAGTTTTTCCAGTGCTGCAGTGCAATGGCTGCTTGCCAACTCTGCTCCGAAACGCCAATCACTGAGTTTACCCGCAGCAGTCTTTGGGATATTTCGCACCTGTTGAAACCCCTGGATTTGATCATTGTGCGAGCTGAAGTTTAGATGAATATATTCAGCAGGATGCTTGCTCATGTTGCACAGACCATGGATCCTTTGAGGAGTGGACTCGCGAATTAGGATTGGTGTCTTTGTGAACCTGAATTAATTAGGCTCTAGACTCTAGAAGAAACTATACAAAACTTGTAACCGTGCACAAGTGGCTTACCCACAGTCATGTAACCATCACTTCTGTGTCAAATTCGATTGTCAACGTTTTTTTCAGTTTCAGTTAGAGATATACTGCAGATCTAAATGCAGTTAAGCCACATCAAATCGCAGCAGCTCTGCCACTCCGAAGTCTTTGACATCGCACCTTGGTAAACTCGAGACACATCTTCACAAAAGCATATAAAAAGATATGTATTTATATATTATATATATACATGCTGTATATTATATATGTAAAAGAACCTTCATGGCTTGACTCTTGGTTGATGTGATTTGGTTGCAACGGATTTGGCTTTGGATCCGGCTTCTTTCTGGAAAGGTGTTTTGGGTGTTCTGACTAGGCGGCAAGGGTAGTGGAGTGGAGACAAGTGCTAGTTGAACTGGGGGGGGCGGGAAAGTAAACGTAAAGGCTATAAAGGTATGGATGAGAATGGGTACCTCAGGTACCTCGAAATTATATTTTTGAATACTGAAACTTGCCAAGATGAGTGGTCCCCTTGATCTGAATTTTAAACCATACAGGCAAGACTGTGGTGAGATTGTCTGAATGGCACCAACTCCAAGTTCAATCTCACAAAACCTTCGGGTTGACCCTTTCAACAACAGCACAATGACACAATGACACAATGACACTGAATGATATCATTGTGACAAGAATCGCCTCACATGATATCCGGAATACAGACGCGAAGAAACGTGGGATTTGGCCCCACTGCCCCACTGCCTTCAACAGCTGTGTGCCGTCGAAGCTCCTAGAGCAGCACTGTAGCTCTTGGGCTCTGGTCGTCGGAAGTCTCGGAAGTCTTGAAGCAATGCCTTTGCGACAGTATTTGGCTCTGATAGAAAGAAAACATGATCGCGAAAGTTTGCCTTGGTTTCCAGTACATGGATGTAACCAACATGAAACCACGGACCAAAGCAAACCCACCTGTCATGCAAGCTCATGAGTCTATTGACTATTGACCGCACACAAGAAAGAATTCAAGTCTGCTCACAATTTGAAATGTTTTCCGCGTGCGTACTATTCTGCCACAACAATCCTCCTGTCAAAGGATCCAACAAGTGTTTGCCATTTCCTAGTTGAGACATGATCACAACACATGCTATGGTCTGCTATGGCTACCTGCAGAGCAGTAAAAGCCCAGAAAACATTCCAAGACATTATGACATGGGTGGGAATATGCACCAATCAGCCTCTACGCACTTCGAAACAATTGTTGGGAGTCGGTTCGATATCAACTAGTCAATTTCATTCAATCTCTAATTTGAGGACTTTTTTGAAAGCTGTCGGTAGAAAACTCTATATTCTCAAACTGACAACTTGAGCAGAGACAGCAGAGATGCCAAGGCTTTTTTCGGAGACTTTCGCATTGCCAGACTCCAAAGTGGTGCATCTGGAGAGAGTTGCAACCTGCGTGGCAAGCCATGACTACTCCCAGTAGTGCCTGGTATCCAATCTATTCCACCCTGGTGTACTCAGTGTACTAGCTCAAGTAGCTAGTTGCCTCAACGAAAGCAACGTTCTCAGGCTTTGCACTTTTGCAGACAAAGAAGCTTTCGAAAGCTCTGAACGACTTCCAAAATAATTGGCCAAGCCTGACGCAAAGCAAAGAATTCTGTTCGTGGACTGCTTTTGGGAGTCGCTATGTCTTCGCCAAGATTCAAACAAAACAGGCTACAACAGGTTGAAATCACGATTGTCTTTCATGGCATGCCCCTTGTACGAGTATCCCTTGTGCGGTATGGATCTGGCAATCCCTAATCTTGAGGAGAGGGAGTCTCAAGACTGACCAGAAAGATGTTTCCCATGAGCAAATAAACAGTCTTCCATTTCCTCACATCCACTGTCCCTGCACTTCCTTCGCCGCATCCGCTGCATATGCCACTGCTCTCAGCATTCCGCCTGAAACCTGCAAACGTACCCAAACAGCATCAAAAGCAGCCACTGAACTTTTGTCATTCCTCACTAATGATAGGTTTGCCTCTAAATCGTGTTGTTGGGCCCACGCGGAATAACGCAGAGCTCGGTGCCAGCTATGGCAGCTGTTGGCCAAGGTGTGCAAAGTCACTGTTGTGAGTTGTAAGCTGTTCTCTGGAAGCCTCCAACGGGCAGCCACAATCAGCCAAACTTGTTTCAACATGTTCCAAGCAAATCCAGAGGTATCAATGAATACATTCCGGTGCTATGCTTTATGTTGCCCTCACCATGAGTCAGCAACTGCAAAGGATGTTTTTTTCCGGGCAAAAAAAACTTGCAGGACTAGAACATTTTGCCGTAAATACAATCACCTAAGCCCTTCAGGAAACAGTGTGCGAGACGTGGGTTGTTTCGTTCAAATTCAATGTGGGCAACAGCTGGACCAGGGCAATATCCATGTCAAAGGCAACAAAAACCATCGACTCCAAATTCACCCTCTACCGACTCTATCGAGACCCTGTGAATCTGCCTGCCGAAAATGTGGTGAGCTGCTTGCCAGAAGGTTGTCCTGCACCAGGGAAGTTCAGGGAAATTCAAATGTCAAACATCACAATGCTCAGACTGCTCGTTGTCCTCTCCGAGATGCTTGTCGAAGATATCTATATAATAGTAATCTATGAATCTATATATAGTAATAGTGCAAGCTTTTTGGCAGCCTTCACACTTTCATTTTGGTCATCAACTGCTTGTCTTGAACTGGCGAGGACAAAACGATACAGTAGATCAAAAAAGCAATGAACTGATGGCCACAATGAAACTCTTACATTGACTCTTCACATTTGGTAACAGTGACAGTCCTACGCTCATTTTTTTCATTTCACGCATGAAAGGGTCTATCCCTTGCTGCTGCAAAACAAAAAGTCTCAATCACCTTCAAAAGCAATTATCAGTACTGCAACTGGAATGCTTGCCAGGTAGTCAATCCTCTCAAGAATTGTGAGAGTCCAAAAACACATTGAAAAACTCACAGATCAGCTAGAGCAAGGGCTGGCAAGGGCTGGCAAGGGCTATGGCGCAAAAACATGGGATCTGGAAGATTTGGCCAAATCATCAGGCTCCCTACACCGAGTACCACATTGGAGTGAAAGATGGGCAAACGAAATTGTCACGTCCTCAAACAGGTCAAAACAGCACATCTTTCCCTCAGAACATTCACGTCCTCAACCAATTCTTCAGAGCAGCATTGCGGAGCTCGACCGAATCAAATCCAGTGGATTTGAGTGTCCATTCCAAAGCTAGGGCATCTGGCCATGGTTGCGTTATCATAGTCGCAGGGCCTTGGCAGATTGACACTTGAGAGGGGGAGGACGAAAGGTAGGTGGGGGTATCTCTCAACAACTTTTTGCGTTCATTCTGTTTCCTTCAAGGTTGGTGCAAACCTCTCTGACAGCTGCGCTCGAAGTCAAGCTGCCGCAAACTCCATGTTTTCTCAGGCGGCGTAGCCAGTTGGGTCTTCGAGCCCTCCCTATTGCGGAAAGCACGAACATGATTCCATGCTGTACATGATATGCTGACATGTTCACCACAGTTACTGGCAGTAACTTCACATTGGTGAAAAAGAGGATTCTTCACTCGCCGCTTTGCATCGCTGACAAAATGTCAGCTGCTTTGGATTTCGATCCTTGATTGCTGGGCACATTGGGTTTGAGTGCCACCGTTCTCCATGGCTTGTCGCCCATACTGCCAGATCTTGTTGTTCTCGCATCTGGCGGATGGTCATGTCGTCGATGTGGTTTACATACTGTTCGAGGTTGTCGAACACTTCTTTCTTGTACTTCTCATTGTTCTCCTCAAGTTGGCCTATGCAGGCTCCCAATTGCATTTGCTCATCATACGTGATGGTGGCTATATTGGTCTCACCACCTGCTATCTGGATCTCCTGATCCACCATGATCTTGCCGTTGATGTTCCTCGTGTTGTCATTCTTTGAGACAAAGAACTTGGCAAAGACGTAGATCAAGATCAGAATGATCGCGATGGCAAAGACAGTCACCATGATGTTGTTGACGTTGATGAAGCCTTCAGGGTCGTTGATATACTCAGTGACCTTGAACTCGGCACGGACCAAAGCATCGTTGTATGCTGCAGTCGCTCCTGCCACTTGTGTTGCCACAACTGTCGAAACATACATTGCCACGGCTGTTCCTCTGGAAACCTTCTTGACCTCCTTTCTCTCCTCCGGAGTCTTCTTCTTTGCTGCTGTGAATGTGCCGTCGTAGATCAGCTGTACGTATCCTCCACGAAGTAGTAGGTCACACATCTGCTGTCGGCCACCGATCTTTGTAAGTCCATCGGCCATTTGTCGCTCTGAGCTCACCCATCTCAGGTCTGAGTTGGTGTGTTTCAGACCATCTCTGATGACCAGTGATTCAATTGCCACACGCTTGTCCAAAGACGATTGAATGGTCTCCTTGTTGATGGCGTCATACAAGGCACGTGCGTCAATAATGACTGCACTTTTGGATCCTCCAGCTGTCTTGTTGTCCTTGATGGTGAGGCTGGAGTCCTTGACCATGCTGTAAAGCATCTTGACCACCATGAGCTCGTCAATGGCTGTTGCGCATGCCTGTGATTCCGCTGCTAATGAGCTCCTGCACACTCGAGTCAATTTGTAGCTCCTCCATGCTACCACGCTGTAGCGTCCCACTTCGCCTTCCAGCACTTTTTGATTGACAGCCAAGATCAGGTATCCACCCTGGCTTGCCAAGTCTTGCCGCACTCCTAGAGCTGCGTCGCTGTAGACGATGAAGTGGATGTCTCGCCAGTCCTCGGCGATGACAGGAAATCGAAGTGCTACATCAGCATTTGCCTTTCCGAACCTCAGGGTCTTGTTGAGCTCGTTCATGACTCTCGCCTCTCTGGAGGCTAGCTCTCCTGCTAAGATTGATGTTGAAGAACACATAATAGGTGGACATCCTTGTCCTGCCGGCCATTGTAGTGCTCCTATCAATCCTCTCGCCCTGAGACCTCTTTGTCGGTCATTGGAGCATCTCCTCGTTTCTTGTCCACTGTCATGGGGGCGATCTTCCGCAGGTACTCCTCAAAGCTGAGACACAATTCGCCGTTGACATACTGCAAGACTCCTCCGCAGTATGCAATCTTCTCATTCTTCTTGAGCATCTTCCACTTGCCAAAGTTGAAAGACGTGTTGATCTCCTAAACCTTCTGCTTCGCCTCAGCTGAATTGGGATTGTATCCGATCAGCATGTCGTCAACATGTAGTAGAAGTAGAAGTTGTAGAGCTCCTGAACGATCGTACCACGCAAAGAAACAATTGTCGAGCTTCTGTGGGTGGATGTCCATCTTCTTCAGCCTCCTCGACGCCTCGTTGAACCACAAGAGAGGTGCGTCGGAAAGTCCGTAGGCACTTTTGTTCATATTCATATAACATGGGCCAGTCACTCCCAAAATGGGGCCACAGTCGGCTGGCAACTTTGCGATGATCATCCTCTTGAATTCATGTCCTGAGCCGGACAGGAAAGCTGCTGTGACGTCTCCCACGATCAGAAGCCACATGTTGTTGCGTGCGATGGTCAGGAAGATCTGTCTGGCTGTTCTTCCTGCTGTCGGGCTTGCTGTCTTCATCTTTGTCAAGTCTGGGTCCTCAAAGCCTCTCAGCACCAAACGTGCTTTTGCCTTCGGAAGACCAGTTGCCTCATCTGTCTTCCATGTCAGAACCCATCTCGTTGTGATCGTCCTTTTCATATCTCCTTGAATCAAAGTGTCGGCGAACTCCCAGACCTCATTCTGGAAAAACTGTGTCAGCTCCTTTGCTTTCGCTTGAGTCACCATTGCACGCTCCTCACTCGTCATGCTCCTCTCGCTCGCCTCATTCTTCCGTAGGTTCTGTACGACCCACGCATCAGCAAGCTCCATGTGGTCGTCCACCAAGGTCCAACCGTCAGGTAGGTCAGCCACTTCCGTCAGCAAGACGTCGTCGATGTACATGTCATTGTCATCGAGATCCTCAGGCACCGGCACTTCTACTGGTCGGTCAACCTCATCTTGAGTCATTGCTGATGGCTGTCCAGTTGAATGTGCGGTGGCTCCTGCATGTTGTGAAGATTGTGCTGCTGCTGAGCTGCTCTTTGATTGCTTCTCCTTGGTCTTTCTCTGTGTTGCCTTCTTGCGCTTTGCGTCATCATCTCCTCCAGGGCCGCTCTCGTCACCTGGATTCTCATCATCCTCATCTTCATCTCTGTGTGAACCTGGTGTCGGCTCTGGCTCCTCTTCTGACATTCTTCTCGCTCTTCTGGGCGTTCTTTCTCTTTCCACATCACCATGTGTCAGCAAACTTGACACCACTCCTGGAATTGGCATCCTCATGACCTCATCTCTCTCTCTGCGTCCTCATCATCAGGGGCAATGCTCGGCTCGTAGTCGTCTGCTTGCTCCTCAGCCATGTCCTCAAGTTCAGGGTCGGCATCAGTGATGTCCCGAAACTGTGTTGTACTCCTCGCTCGAAGTTCTTGTAGATCTTTCAGAGCTGCGTCTGGGTCAGCTGCAATCGGGCATCCTTGTTCTTCGACCATGGGTCTCACCTGGTGTGGTGAGCATCGGACCAAGCTTGTTCCATGCGTCAGCCATAGTGTGAGAACCTTACCATCTTCATTGACCTCCTTGGCAACGACTCGGGCTGGTCCACGCCATTTTGCCTTCTGCAAGATGCCTGATCCTGCTTTGCGCCAGAACCAGACCTTCTGTCCTATCTGGACATCATCTTTTGTCTCCTGGAAGATCTTGTTCATGGCTCTCCTCAGTTTCGCGTCGCTGTCAGCCTGTATCCAAGCTTTCTGAGCTGTGAAGCGTCTCCTCTGAATCTCCACAAACTTTGAAGCGTCGTCGATGGCGTCGCATCCAGGGTTGAAGAGCTCTGCAGTGAGGGAGTGCGTTGAAGCTCAATTCTTTCCGAAAACCCATTGTGCAGGGGAAAATTCATGCATTATTGATATGTTGTTGATTTGGTGCGGCACGTAGATGTAGGCCTCCTCCAGGGTCTTGACATTGTTGACTCCCTTCTCAGCCATGTAGTGCTCCAGTGCTTTGCGAACAACTTGATGTTTGCGTTCAACAGGGGCCAACCAGTTGTGTGCTTCACCTGGGGCTACCTCCAACGCTATGCCTCTGTCTGAGCACCATTCTCTGATCAACTTCGATGACCAGCCTTTCGCCTCATCGACCCTCAAGCAGTGTGGAACTCCAAACTGATTGATCCACGATCTCTCCAAGCCTTTGATGAACTTGTCCGATCTCTCCGTCTTCAAGATGCGGATGGACACGTAGCGAGTTGCGTGATCCAGAAATGTGACCACACACTTTCTGCCATCATCGGTGTCGATCCAAGCTGAATCTGCCATCAGCCTGTCGTTGAAGTTCTTCGCCACAAGTTGAGCTGCTGGTGGTACTGTGGCTGGAAGCTTTCGATGATAGCAAACTGCACATTTGAAGTCCTCTGCAGCCTTCAAGACATTCTGCGTCGCCTGCACCTCCTCAAGCATCTTCTTGAGAACTGCTGGTTGTGGATGTCCAAGAGACTTGTGCAAGCGCTTGACATAGTTGTAGGCTGCTGGTCCAACTTCTCCACGTAGTCTGGCGTTGAGCAAGATGACATCGTCGTCCTTCTTCTCCTTGACCTCCACCATGACTGCGTCACCCTCTGCATCAATCTCTTCATCCACAGGCATGATGGGATCACCATCCTCCTCAGTCGGCTCCTCTGCAAGTAGTTCTGCCAGCTTCTTGGCCAACTTGGGGGGGTAGTCCTCGGACATTGCAGAACGAAGTCCAAAGCCTTTTGCACTTCCTTCGATGGGAACATGGTATGGGCATCCAGGGCATCCTCTCCACAGGCGGTTGTAGAGAGACTTCTTTGTTGTCCTGAACGTAGTTGGTTTCTTCGCTGGGTGCCATTGTCCAAGTTTGAGACCATAGGCACACTGGTCGACGTAGCAGTCGTAACCCTTCATCCTGTTGTATGCCTTAGTCTTCCAAGCTCTGCTCTTGTGTGGATGCTCTGTTGTCGCATGCCTGCCAGCTCTACGTTGGGCCTCATAGACAATTGCTGTAAATGTCAAATGAGTGTCATGATCCTTCTGCCTCTTCTTCATGAGCTCACGACGCGCCTCCTCACTCCTCGAAGCTGAGAGTTCTTGTAGTGAAGACCAGAGTCTGCATGCTGGTGCGATCAGGATCTCATCAGGCTCCTCCTTCTTGAGTCGCTTCAGGAAAAGTGCTCGGTCTCGTGGTCGATCAAAGTCCTAACCTGTCTGATATGAAAAGATCTCGACCTCACAGTCTCCTCTCTTCTTCAGCTCCTCAGAAACTCGTCCTCGACCAACGTAGACTTCCCACACCTTCCTCAGCGGTGAGAAGACTCCTTGATCGATACATCCAGCTTTTGCCAACTCTTTGCGCATCTTGTCCTTCTCGTGCTCGGCGGTGTGAATCATCTTCGTCAGCATAGACGGCCTCAGTCTCTTGACCGTTGAAGTATCATGCAAAGTGTATACAAATTCAGTCGGGGATCCCTCTTCGTTACGATTGGGCTCCTCAGCTTGCATGTCGCCAGAGTGCTCGTTGTCCTCCACATTGATAGGAGTGTCTCCTGTATTGTGCCCAGACGGGGCAACCTCATCGTCACAGTCTGGTGACGGCATTGGTGAAGGTGTCAACGCACACTCGGTGACGTCCCTGTCGTTGGTCTCATCCTCTGCTGCCATGCCGATGGTGTCGCTTTCTCCACATGGCTCGTCGTTCATCAGGTAGTCCACAGTGAGCTTGTTGGTGAAGTCGATGTGCTCCTCGTGATCGTCGGGGACCAAAACCTCCGGTTGCTCCTCCTCATAGTTCTCTGCAAGTCGCACCAAGTATTCATCCTTGGGGCCAAGAGTAACCGGTTTCCATGGTTGTCCCTTCCATTTGTATTTCCTGGTGGCGTAGTCCACAGTCAAGCCTAGTCGTTCAAGCAAGGGTCGTCCAATCAAGATCGCACATGTGCCACCGACTGCATAGCATAGGACATGTCGTCGACGAAATCCAGCAAAGATTGGAAGTAGAAGACACAGTGTTGCGATCTCCTTCTCAGAGTTGCCGTACTTGAAGCCCTTCTTGCACTTGAAAACCTCGATGTTCTCGATGTTGTAGCCAAGGTCCTTCAAGTAGAACAGATAGCGCCTGATCTGGACATAGGATCCCAAGAAAGAAGCTGCTCCTCCATCTTGAACTGCTGCATCAGGCACCTGGTCGATGTTGTAGCGCTCTGCAGTAGCGGTGTTCTCGACCATGCCAACGAGCTCCTCTTGCTCCTCGATCTTCCTCTTGCGGTCTCCTTGAGAGGGACAGTTTCGTGCTTGGTGTCCTGATTGTCCACATCTCACACAAATCTGTCGTCCTTGTCCAAAAACTGCACATCCTCTAGCCTTTGCTCCTCCTTTCTGTGGTGGTGACGAACCTCATCCTTTCGGCTTACCTTTGCCCTTCTGCTTGCCCTTTGACTTGGATCTGTTGGATCCACCTTTGCCACTGGAGTCGATCAGTGCCACAACTGGGTAAAAACCTCGGTTGACTCGCATCTGGTTCATCTTCGATCTTGCCTCCACGAAGTTGGCGTAGATGGCATCATACTCATCAACGTCAAACACTTCAGTCCTGCTCATCTCCATGGGCGGTGTCGTTGTCGTCGAAGTAGCTCGCGTCATAGTCAACCCACTGCTCATAGTCATCCTCGTAGTAGGCACCGTCGGCTGTTGCCATGTAGTCTCAAGACTCATCGTCCTGCCAAGGCGTAGATGTTGCTGTCTCATCGTTGTACATCACACTGTCTTTTGACCTTGTCCAGCGTTGACCCTCGAGCTTTGTGTCCTGGCCGATCACAAAGTTCATGGTCTTCTGCACGTTGTCCAGGTCCAGAGTTTCATGTCCAACTGAACTCAGCACCATAAGTCGTTGTTCCTTCGACAAGCCAGAACGTCGAAGAAAATACCAAGCCTTGACCTTCTCTGGCAAATCCACTTTGTGAATTGTCCTCAAACGTCTCTCCGCATGCGTGAACTCCTGGGTGTAGTCCTGCAAGGTTTGGCCAGTTCTCCTGCTCAGGGAGATGAAGAACTTCTCGAAGTCACTTGGCAATTCAGTCAATGGGTCGAACTGAAATGCTTTATCCAGTCGGTCGAATACCTTCTGGAACCCGTTGTCGGAGAGTTGCTGCACGTCGAGGTCCTCCACTAAGTCCCAAGACCTGCCGTAGAGCAACGTAACCAAGTTGAAAATGGTCTCTTTGCCACGTCCAGCTAAGTCCATCTTTTGCTTGTACACCTCACATCGCCTTCTGAACTCTCTGTAGTTCTTCGCCTGGTTGTCGAAGACGGGCACATGGGAGTCAGCCTTTGAGGCGTTTGCTGATCCACTTCCGGTTGATGCCGCCTCCGCCATCAGCTAAAAGCACAGGGTGGAACCGTCAACACGGCTTCCGCTAGCAACTTCAAGGTTGGTGCAAACCTCTCTGACAGCTGCGCTCGAAGTCAAGCTGCCGCAAACTCCATGTTTTCTCAGGTGGCGTAGCCAGTTGGGTCTTCGAGCCCTCCCTATTGCGGAAAGCACGAACATGCGAACATGATTCCATGCTGTACATGATATGCTGACATGTTCACCACGGTTACTGGCAGTAACTTCACAGTTTCAATATATATCGAACTTTCCCTTCCCCCTAGGTGCCTCTCAATTTCCTGCATCCATTTCGTTTCATACGTAGACTTCCCCTATTGGCCTCTCCGCCACTTCTTACGTTTTTGCTGTTGCAATATCCGAACTTCCCCGGCATCAACAACTTCCTGCATGCATCTTGTCTCAATATCTAAATTCCACCCACCCCGTGCCATAGTCAGTAATAAGAACCACAAGCAAGATAATGTTAGTCAGTTTGTTGGCAACCTATGTGAATTAGAGGGGCCAAGGTGCCTCAACCGATCGACGCTCGGTTGAGGCACTTTGCGTGTAGGTCTTTATGGATGTAACCTTCATGCGGCTAAGTGCGTGAAGATGTCTGAAGCAAAAACAACATCAACAATTGCAGGGACGAAACCGTCCTTGTTTCGTGGGAACTATTAAAAGGCTTGCGGCTCAGGGATAAGTGTCGCTGCGAAGGGACATACTGCTATTGTTTTCTTTCCTGCATCAATTTCGTTTCATACGTAGACTTCCCCTATTGGCCTCTCCGCCACTTCTTACGTTTTTGCTGTTGCAATATCCGAACTTCCCCGGCATCAACAACTTCTTGCATGCATCTTGTCTCAATATCTAAATTCCACCCACCCCGTGCCATAGTCAGTATAAGAACCACAAGCAAGATAATGTTAGTCAGTTTGTTGGCAACCTATGTGAATTAGAGGGGCCAAGGTGCCTCAACCGATCGACGCTCGGTTGAGGCACTTTGCGTGTAGGTCTTTATGGATGTAACCTTCATGCGGCTAAGTGCGTGAAGATGTCTGAAGCAAAAACAACATCAACAATTGCAGGGGACGAAACCGTCCTTGTTTCGTGGGAACTATTAAAAGGCTTGCGGCTCAGGGATAAGTGTCGCTGCGAAGGGACATACTGCTATTGTTTTCTTTCCTGCATCAATTTCGTTTCATACGTAGACTTCCCCTATTGGCCTCTCCGCCACTTCTTACGTTTTTGCTGTTGCAATATCCGAACTTCCCCGGCATCAACAACTTCTTGCATGCATCTCGTCTCAATATCTAAATTCCACCCACCCCGTGCCATAGTCAGTAATAAGAACCACAAGCAAGATAATGTTAGTCAGTTTGTTGGCAACCTATGTGAATTAGAGGGGCCAAGGTGCCTCAACCGATCGACGCTCGGTTGAGGCACTTTGCGCGTAGGTCTTTATGGATGTAACCTTCATGCGGCTAAGTGCGTGAAGATGTCTGAAGCAAAAACAACATCAACAATTGCAGGAGACGAAACCGTCCTTGTGTTTCGTGGGAACTATTAAAAGGCTTGCGGCTCAGCGATAAGTGTTGCTGCCAAGGGACATACTGCTATTGTTTTCTTTCCTGCATCAATTTCGTTTCATGCGTAGACTTCCCCTATTGGCCTCTCCGCCACTTCTTACGTTTTTGCTGTTGCAATATCCGAACTTCCCCGGCATCAACAACTTCCTGCATGCATCTTGTCTCAATATCTAAATTCCACCCACCCCGTGCCATAGTCAGTATTAAGAACCACAAGCAAGATAATGTTGGTCAGTTTGTTGGCAACCTATGTGAATTAGAGGGGCCAAGGTGCCTCAACCGATCGACGCTCGGTTGAGGCACTTTGCGTGTAGGTCTTTATGGATGTAACCTTCATGCGGCTAAGTGCGTGAAGATGTCTGAAGCAAAAACAACATCAACAATTGCAGGGGACGAAACCGTCCTTGTTTCGTGGGAACTATTAAAAGGCTTGCGGCCCAGGAATAAGTGTCGCTGCGAAGGGACATACTGCTATTGTTTTCTTTCCTGAATCAATTTCGTTTCATACGTAGACTTCCCCTATTGGCCTCTCCGCCACTTCTTACGTTTTTGCTGTTGCAATATCCGAACTTCCCCGGCATCAACAACTTCCTGCATGCATCTTGTCTCAATATCTAAATTCCACCCACCCCGTGCCATAGTCAGTATTAAGAACCACAAGCAAGATAATGTTGGTCAGTTTGTTGGCAACCTATGTGAATTAGAGGGGCCAAGGTGCCTCAACCGATCGACGCTCGGTTGAGGCACTTTGCGTGTAGGTCTTTATGGATGTAACCTTCATGCGGCTAAGTGCGTGAAGATGTCTGAAGCAAAAACAACATCAACAATTGCAGGGGACGAAACCGTCCTTGTTTCGTGGGAACTATTAAAAGGCTTGCGGCTCAGGGATAAGTGTCGCTGCGAAGGGACATACTGCTATTGTTTTCTTTCCTGCATCAATTTCGTTTCATACGTAGACTTCCCCTATTGGCCTCTCCGCCACTTCTTACGTTTTTGCTGTTGCAATATCCGAACTTCCCCGGCATCAACAACTTCCTGCATGCATCTTGTCTCAATAATTCCACCCACCCCGTGCCATAGTCAGTAATAAGAACCACAAGCAAGATAATGTTAGTCAGTTTGTTGGCAACCTATGTGAATTAGAGGGGCCAAGGTGCCTCAACCGATCGACGCTCGGTTGAGGCACTTTGCGCGTAGGTCTTTATGGATGTAACCTTCATGCGGCTAAGTGCGTGAAGATGTCTGAAGCAAAAACAACATCAACAATTGCAGGAGACGAAACCGTCCTTGTGTTTCGTGGGAACTATTAAAAGGCTTGCGGCTCAGCGATAAGTGTTGCTGCGAAGGGACATACTGCTATTGTTTTCTTATCTAACATGAGCATTGTCCATGACCTGTGAAGAACATCGAATGGTCTCGTAAAGTATTCCAGTTGGAGCATGGAGCTCAGCTGCGTGTCTGTGATGCGCGTAGAGCACCGAATTGAGAAGAAAGTTAAGGGACCGCATAACCCCACAAGTCAACTTTTTCCAATAATGATCAACAAATTTTGCAGCGGGGACGGGGAAGGAAGGAAAGACAAAAGAGGAGGTGGAGGAAAAATGGTTTGTGACAAAGTTGTGTGCGTGAAAGATGGTGTGGTGAAAGATGGTGTGTGTGTGTGTAAGATGGTGTGTCAAAGATTGTGTGTGAAAGATGGTGTGTGACAAAGTGGTGTGTGACAAAGTGGTGTGTGAAAGATCATGTGTCAAAGATGGTGTGTGACAAAGTGGTGTGTGAAAGATGGTCTGTGACGGTGTGTGAAAGATGGTGTGTGGCCAAGTGGTGTGAAAGATGGTGTGTCAAAGATGGTGTGTCAAAGATGGTGTGTGAAAGATGGTGTGTGAAAGACGGTGTGTGACAAAGTTGTGTGTAAGATGGTGTGTCAAAGATTGTGTGTGAAAGATGGTGTGTGTGTGTGACAAAGTGGTGTGTGAAAGATCATGTGTCAAAGATGGTGTGTGACAAAGTGGTGTGTGAAAGGAAGTGTGTGTCAAAGTTGTGTGTGAAAGAGAGGGTGTGATAAAGTTGTGTGTGAAAGATGGTGTGTCAAAGATGGTGTGTGAAAGATAGTGTGAAACATGGTGTGTCACAAAGCGGTGTGAATACCCCAGCGGCGTCCACGGCGCCAAATCCACCCCAAGCGCGCCACCAGAGCCAGCCCAGTGCCATACGTGCCACGCCGGCCGCACAAAGTGGAGGTGTCGCCAAGTGCCACGCCTGCCACGCAAAGCGACGCTCGATGTCGCCAAGTAACCCAAGCGCGCCACCAGAGCCAGTCCAGTGCCAGAAGTGCCGCGCCTGCCACGCAAAGTGAAGGTCCATGTCGCCAAGTGCCACGCCTGCCACGCAAAGCGACGCTCGATGTCGCCAAGTGCCACGCCTGCTACGCAAACAGCGGTGTGTGTGGACAAGTTGCATGTGTAGACGTATGTGAGGAAGTTGTGTGTGAGGAAGTTGTGTGAGGACAAGGTGTGTGTGTGTGTGGACAAAGTGTGTGGTTGTTGTGTGTGAGTAAGTTGTGTGTGAGCAAGTTGTGTGAGGACAAGTTGTGCGTGGACAAGTTGTGTGCGGACAAGTTGTGTGAGCATGTGTGTGTGAGTAAGTTGTGTGTGGACAAGTTGTTTGAGCATGTGTGTGAGTAAGCTGTGTGTGAGCAAGCTGTGTGACGACAAGTTGTGTGTGGACAAGTTGTGTGTGAGTAAGTTGTGTGTGAGCAGTTGTGCTCTGCGCGAAATCGACGCAAGATCTTTGCTGAAACATCGTGCGCACTGATCGTATCAAGAGCCATAATTCACCACACCATGCTGTGTCAGCTACTTCTACATTCTTCTAGCCGTTGTTTTTGCTCATGCAATTAACTGCATCCCATCTTTCTGGTCGCTATTTATTCCTGGGTTCTCGTTTGCAAAAAGAAAGCTGGAGATGCGCAGTCTTTTGTTGAACCGTAGGGCCTTGTAAATGGACAACGTGTTTCATGCCCAAAGTGTCAACATGCTTTCATGTGACATCAACTCCCTTCTTTATGTTAGCTGTTCCCTATCAACATGCATCAAATCAATTTTTGGGCGCGGACCAGGGGGAATCGAATGGGGGGGCCCCACCTGTACGATGGACAGTTCGAGGCTATTTGGCAGTTAGCAGCTACCAGTAAGTGTTTACATAAAAGTCGATGATAAGTAGGAGCGCTGGAGGCGCTGCAGCCGCTGGAGGCGCTGAAGGCGCTGAAGGCGCTGAGGGCGCGGAGGGCGCTGAGGGCGTTGAAACCGCTGAGGGCGCTGGAGGCGCTGAAGGCGCTGAAGGCGCTGAGGGCGCTGAAGGCCCTGAAGGCGCTGAGGGCGCTGAGGGCGCTGAGAGCGCTGAGGGCGTTGAGGGCGC